ATATATTTTATGGGGCCCCCAGGAACTTGGGGCCCTAGGCAACTGCCTAGTATTGCCTAATGGTAAATCCCCCCCTGCCTCGGACGGAGAGACAGAGCTCTGACATTTATACAGCAATTCCCACAACACACACTCTCCCTTGGAACTAACCCACCTCCTGCATAAAGAACTTTCTCAGACTTGAGTTCATCGAGGCCATTCCCTGTTAGGTTAATATATCTTTCCCTGGCAAAATTGATCTTCTCAAAACAACATTTTTCCCCTAATGCCATGAAAGAAGCTGTGTGACTCATTCTTACCCTCGTTTGAAGCCTGTGAGGCTAAGAACAGACATACCTCAACATTTTATACTCCACAACAGATACACTTTATACCCGAGGCCTCTGCTTAACGTACAGAAACATGTAGATGAGAGACGGAAAGCAGAACGAACAATTGTAAAACACGGTGGTGGCTGCAGCAGGCTGTGGCAGGTAAAGGGAAGGTTCCTGAATATGAAACCCTTAGGATTTCGTTGCGCTTTTTCTCCTCGTTCCTTCTCTATCAGGAAATGGGAGCAGAATACGCCATCGTTTATGTTCGTTATGTTTATTTTTCCACGTCTCCACAGAGCGGCAGCAGATCCTTAAAGGGGTCCAGAACATCGTGGTGAAAGCGGCCCGTCGACGTTCCAAAGCCCTGGAAGTGGATGTCCTGCGTTTACCCGCCGCCCCCTCTCCCCTGGACCCCAAGAAGCAGAAAAGCAACCTTTTTTTGATAGAGGCGCCCCCTACAGGTCTCCCCCTGCGCCGCGGCCGGCAGCCAAGCCCTGAGCTGCGACACGCCACCTCTGATGATAACCTGTCCAGCAGCACAGGGGAGGGGCCGGGCCTCCATGTGACCTGGACGCGTCCTCGCAACCGCTTCGCTACCAACAAGAACCAAACGCCTCGCGAAGTCGACTTCGAGGCTCGTCGCAAGAAAAGACGCTCAAGGTCTTTTGAGGTCACCGGTCAAGCAGTGAGTCATTTTAATTTATTATTAAATGTCGTGAAGTGACCAGTGTTGTTTTTGACAGCCATCTTAGATTTAGTCTCCTTCAGAACGAAAACTGTTATTAGTCTTAGTCGCAAGTTAGTCACGATATGTAATAGTTTTAGTCGGTTTTTGTCGACTTAAACTTAAACAGGTTTAAGTCAGTTTTATGTTGCACAAAAAAAGGTAATCTTTATAATTTAAATTAACAACCAGATTCTTTTCCAGACTGACAGCTCTAGCATAGATACTACAATAGCTGGGTATATAATGCTGCCCTGCACTTCATCATTGCTATTGGGCAGAAAATTAAATTCAGTTTTGTTTCAATTAATTTCTATAGCGCCAATTCACAACACACGTCATCTCAATGCACTTTAAAGTTCACCAGATCACCCAGACAAATTGATTCTATCCAAGGAAAACCAGCTGAATGCATCGACTCAT